TGAAATAATAGAAGTCTGCAAGTCTGTACGCAATTACGCAATACGCATGATCTTAAAAGTAATTATAATTAATAGAAAAAGTAATTGTAATTGGAAAAAGTATTTGTACTTATAGAAGTAATTTGTAATTCGATAGTTCAAATAATATAATTACAAATTACAATTCCTATAACAATTTTGCTGCAATTACAATTCCAAATTACTTTAATAAAAAAAAGTACTTAAATACAATTACAATTACAGGGAAAAAAGGGAATTGTAATTGCTAATTACTTTTTCACCAGGAATTACCCAGCTCTGATACGTATGATGCGGATCTTGCCCACCACTAATCAGTATTGATATGGATGGGTGGGTAATTATCAGAGATTGGATGGGGACGATTAAAGAAACATATTCGTAATGTTCGAATTGGTTCACATATTTTTTTTATATGAAAATGTGTTTCATAAAGGTCGTTCCATTTGAAATATTCAAATTTTCAAATACCTGTGTGAAATATACATTCGGTAGTAGGTACTGTAGTTAGTAGTGGATGGGTATCAGATATTGGATGGGGGCGATGAAAGAGACATACATATTCGTACTGTTCGAATTGGTTCACATATTTTTTTATATGAAAATGTGTTTCATAAAGGTCGTTTCCATTTCAAATATTCAAATTTTCAAATACCTGTGTAAAATATACATTCGGTAGTAGGTACTGTAGTTAGTACTAGACTTTATTGTTTATTTGTTTTCTTACTAACTTCAACCGAGAGTACCTAAAAACGATGTTAAAAACTTGTTTTCTTAAAAATAATATATGAAACTTAAAAAACTACAAATTTTATTATTTATTTTGTCCTTGTCCATAAACTTGGGTAAAGCTGCAACCGAATGAAGTTTGTATACAATTCACATTTTTTATAAATTTTCGTTACCTTATTGCATCGCAGTTGTTTTTTAGAGAAGCAGCAAACTTCCTTTTGCATACATACAATCTCCTGCATCGATACAGTGTATACATTATTTCAATTATAACCTACATCGCGGATACAGCGTATACATTATGTCAATTATATTTTATTCTGTTACGGGAAAGTTCAATACAGGGTGTTTGGTAAGTCGATGCATTCCTTGCAGGAGGTTAGAGTACAAGTGATTTGTGATATATTTCCTAAATATAACATTCCGAAAACGTTTAGTTTCTGATCTACAGGGTGATAAAATTTTAATAAAAAAATGCAAATTTATAAATATTTCGGAAACCGCTCAGAATATTTTAATGAAATTTTACAAGCTTTGACAATTAACAACAATATATGTTTTATGATAAAAATATTGTTTTTACTTTCACCAGTGGCGTGCGCACAGGCAGGGGGATATTTTTAAAGAAAAAAATGATACGCCACTGATGTTTCTTAAAATAAAAATTATTTTTGCATTCCTTGTTCAATTTGGAAGAGAAAAGGTATCTCCACTGTTTTTCTTATGACGCACCGTTTTCGAATAAAAAAAATAAAATCGATTTATTGCATGGCGTAATCAATAATTTGAAAAATGCTATGCTGTTTATGATGCTTTTCTTTTATAACATTTTTATGCTATTTATAATCTTAAAACTCTTTGTGCTGTTGTTTAATGTATATCTGTTAATTTAGTGGATACTTTAGTGGGTTTTTTCGCCTGTTCGTGTCCCAAATGGTAAATAAATAAATAAATAAATAAATACTTACTGTCGATTAATGCTTGGTACACTTATGCCGTGTACCAAATTTGAGTGTTCTAAGTTCAAGTATTCGAATTCGAAATATGAAACCCCACTTTCTTATGCAAAACACCCTGTATTTTGCATAAGTATAGAAATTTTGATGTATTATCCTAAATCCGACATTGAATACTGAACTGCATTGTTTCCGGGCTGACGTTCAATCACACCCAATGTTGGCTCCGCAGGAGGTTCAGCGGTAGACTCGTGCTAAATTGAGTAACAAAAATATTAGAGCCAATAATAAGATGTATACGTATTTAAAAAAAGCGTTTGTAAGCAAATTAATTTAAACACCTACACCCACAGCATTACAAACAAGACGACATTTTCCTTGTTCGCCGTAAGCGAATTAGACCCGATCCAAATCCATCAATCCCATCGTTTGATTTCCCATAGGCCTAGACGCGGTGGATGCCGGCGCAGCGGGAAGCGGAGGAAAGGTGCGAAGTGTGATATAATTATGTGCATTGTCTGAAGATTAATAGCACCGCCCGAGGAGGTCAGCGGCTTCTGTTTGATTGCCCTGTCCCGCTAACTATCAAATAATCAACTGTGACCGTACACCGGCATTCCGTGGAGGAGATGCAGGTTACGATGTCCTCTCGATGCGGCGGGCTCGGACCGAACGCTGCGGACGTTCGATGCGCTGCCGCCGCTCGCCGTAATTATTATTCAACGTAATTAATAAAAATCTGTCAGCTGCCGTAATAGGAAATGTCTTTACGCCATTTATTTCAGAGATGTCGGTTTAGAATTTAAATAATAACCCCACCGGACGGGCATCGCTGTATAAATATTATTGGAACGGTATAACTTGGGTCTGTTGAAAGCAATTTGTAAAATGTTTTCTGAGGAAGTCGCAAGGAGGAAATTAATAAAGATATAGGACTCTAATCACACCATGCGTTGTCCGCCCTCTATGTGTATATTTATTTGAATACAAGCATTTGGTTTATTGTATTCTTTTTTCCACTTTATGGGATTATATGCACTCCATGTGGTGATGCAAGAGAAAAATAAAATAATAAAATCAATTTTGTTTGTGAAGAAAATAAACGAAAATACCAAATCGTCTATGTTCGCCAATTTGCTCCGTTTTTTCAACCTCATCAACAACTTGATTGGTACACATTCATTTTTTATTTCTAGTAGAATAAAAACAGTGGATTGTGTATTAAAGCCGAATGCCTCAACTATACATATTTGGTGAAATATTCTCTCTTCTGTGCATAGACACAAATTTTCTACTTAAAAAATCTTTTTTTATAGTTATTGCAAAAGCTACCTTTTCTACTGCTTGTTCTACGGTTACAGTAGAAAATCTTTATAGACTTATGTATCACAAAGAAAATGAGGCCCGCTTCTGTTAGTTTTGGTAGTGGAATCCAATTTTATGTCCTCT